CTCTCTCTCTCTCTCTCTCTCTCTCTCTCTCTCTCTCTCTCTCTCTCTCTCTCTCTCTCTCTCTCTCTCTCTCTCTCTCTCTCTCTCTCTCTCTCTCTCTCTCTCTCTTCTCTCTCTCTCTCTCTCTCTCTCTCTCTCTCTCTCTCTCTCTCTCTCTCTCTCTCTCTCTCTCTCTCTCTCTCTCTCTCTCTCTCTCTCTCTCTCTCTCTCTCTCTCTCTCTCTCTCTCTCTCTCTCTCTCTCTCTCTCTCTCTCTCTCTCTCTCTCTCTCTCTCTCTCTCTCTCTCTCTCTCTCTCTCTCTCTCTCTCTCTCTCTCTCTCTCTCTCTCTCTCTCTCTCTCTCTCTCTCTCTCTCTCTCTCTCTCTCTCCCTCTCTCTCTCTCTCTCTCTCTCTCCTCTCTCTCTCTCTCTCTCTCTCTCTCTCTCTCTCTCCTCTCTCTCTCTCTCTCTCTCTCTCTCTCTCTCTCTCTCTCTCTCTCTCTCTCTCTCTCTCTCTCTCTCTCTCTCTCTCTCTCTCTCTCTCTCTCTCCTCTCTCTCTCTCTCTCTCTCTCTCTCTCCTCTCTCTCTCTCTCTCTCCTCTCTCTCTCTCTCTCTCTCTCTCTCTCTCTCTCTCTCTCTCTCTCTCTCTCTCTCTCTCTCTCTCTCTCTCTCTCTCTCTCTCTCTCTCTCTCTGAGACTAGGACGTCCTATATATTGGGAGGCGAGCCGTTAGGTTGAGCTGATCGGGGGAGCGGCGAAGGGTCTCCTTAAATTTGCCCTGGCTAATGTAGGGTCAGGTCTGGACTTTTTCAGAGACTACAAGTTGTATATTCTGGAGAAATCTTCAGATGGGGCCGTGTGACATGAGAGGCCCTGGTTGATTTGTGGCCCCTTGAGTTGGGCTCCGAGGGTTACATTTGACCTGGCTAATGTGAGGTCAGGTCTGGACTTCTTCTGGGATGTAGGTTATTGTGTATATTGGGAGAGAGTGGGCAGGTGCCTTCTTACATGTTTGTTGGGGCCGTGTGACATGGGAAGGGGAGCTAGTTGATTTATAACCCTTGGGCAGCTGCGAGGCTTACCCTTACACTTGACCCCCCTAATGTCGGGTCAAGTCTGGACTGTTTCTGAGATGTAAGCTGTGGTCTGACAACCCATCACTACAGTAAGGTCACATAGGTACACTCGGGTACAGTAAGGTCACATAGGTACACTCGGGTACAGTAAGGTCACATTGGTACACTCGGGTACAGTAAGGTCACATAGATACACTCGGGTACAGTAAGGTCACATAGATACACTCGGGTACAGTAAGGTCACATAAGTACACTCGGGTACAGTAAGGTCACATAGGTACACTCGGGTACAGTAAGGTCACATAGATACACTCAGGTACAGTAAGGTCACATACAGTAGATACACTCGGGTACAGTAAGGTCACATAGGTACTTAGAGAGAATGAAGTATATTCTCAACTTTGGCCGAAGTATAATGAAACCTGACTTGCCAACACAGAGAATGGTGTCACTGGCGACCCCTTTCCAAGGTCCACAGGTCTGCCAACTGTTTATGGGCTCCATAGATACGTGCAGGGCCGGATTCAGGAGTGGGCAAAGTGGGCAGCTGCCCACGGGCCTCCACATATTACAATATTTTATTCATTTGTTTATTCATTTGGATTATTTTTATTTTCATTCTTTAAAATTCATGTTTATCTATTCCATCACGTAAAACTATGTTCAGCAAGAAGCGTGATAGAAATTAGGCTAGCTACTCCTTGAAATTCATGAATACCTGGTTTTCCTATGAACCGTATATTTATGCTGTGTTTTGGCATGACATTCTTGGCAGAGTTGATGCAACAAGCCATGCATTGCAAGATCCTAAACTCGATTTGAACGCAGCAGTAGCAATGCTGAAGTCCTTGGAATGTTTTGTACGAGAAAAAAGAGATTGCTTCCATGTTTATGAGAAGAAGGGAAGGGAAATGTCAGAAACTGGGGATTATTCACAGACACGCAAGCATCAATGTAATGTATGACTCAATCCATTGGATTATGGACGATCAGAAGAAGCAGCCCTCTCGGTCAGAAAAATTTTGGGTTTAGAATTTCCTTCCAGCATTGATCAGTTCCTGAGTTCACTGGATCAACTGTGTTAAAGGCCTATGAGGAAACCTGTTCACTTTTCGGGTTCTTGTCTAAACTGGAGTCAATGAATTGTGACGAAATTGAAGCAGCTGCAGCAAAATTGGGTGCTGAGTACAAAAATGATTTGGATCATGGAGTTGAACTTGTGCAGTTTACAGCATTCTTCACTCAATTTCTTGAAAGACGAAGATGATGAGAAAGGGAGGGCACATTACCTTTACAAGCTGTTGATAGACAAGAAAGTTGTAGACACATTTCCAAATGTTGAAATAATGCTATGGATGTACTTGGTGCTCATGGTCACAAATTGTTCTGGAGAACGTTCTTTCAGTAAAAGGAAGTTTATTAAAAACAGATTTCGAACTACAATGTGTCATGATAGGCTCAGCCACCTGGCTTTGATGAGTATCGAATATGACATCCTCAGAGAGATTGACTTCGAAAAGTTGATAAGAAACTTTGCAGCGGCCAGGTCACGTAAAGTGCTTGGTCTGTCAATAAAGGTAATGTTTATTTTCTATTTTGCAACTGATCAATGTTTGTGTTCAATATATCCATTATCCATGGTCGATGGCAGTTATTTTTATTAAAATTCTTGTTTTTTCCAATATGTTCATACTTTTGTTATAATTTTATCAAATTCATTAAATTGTTTTATTTGTTTTACTATTGGATGCAAAACTTCAATTTTATTTATAGTTGAGTTAATACTTATTCTGAATCTATCTGACCTTGGACTAAAAGAAGCCTATAAAGTGACCCCTCGGTTAACGAACTCAATCCGTTCCAGAAGGTCGTTCGTTAACCGAAAAGTTCGTGAACCGAAACCATTGTTTCAATGGGTTTTTGGGTAATTGGTTCCAGCTCACCGAAAATTTCCTAATTTCAACAAAAATGGTAGAAAAGTTCACTTACTTTGAGGTGTGTATGTAGAAGGCTCCTGGATGATGATGGGAATTAGAATGGGGGTGGAGGAGAAGGGAGAAGAGAAGGCATTGGGGTGGAAGAGAAGTCACCCCATGGCACCATTTCACCCATAAAATTTTAGTTCTCTTGGTGTATTTCAAGATTATTTTCTTTAAATCAACACTGCACTGCATTATATATTGTCAATATGTAAAATATTTTTCAAAATGACCAATAATTTGCTTGGAAACACAAAAAAAAGCGTTTAGTTGAAGAGAGTCTCAAGCAAGATGTTACCTCCACTGAAAACAGAGAGAGACTAACGCCTGTCTGGTGTGTTAACAGGCTGGATGGCACGCCAGAAACTAGTTTCTTTACCTTCAATTATGTTCAATAATTGTTAAAATGACTAAAAAAGTTAATATCAAACTTTTAAAATTGTTGAATAGTATAAACTTTTTGATATTTACTAAAATAGTAAGGAATTTAAACCCTAGAACCGATTAATGTATTGGCGGACTGATACTAAAGCTGGTTGCCCGGTCAGTGCAAGCGAAAACATGTTGAGGTCGGTTAAATGAAAATTCGTTAACGAATTTTTGTTCGTTAACCCGGGTACGTTAAGTGCCCGAATTGAAGATCCTTATGGAAAACAGTTCGTTAACCGAAATTTCGTTAACCGAGGCGTTAAATTTAAGCAGAGGTCCTATACATGCATTAGTGGACAGAACCATTATTTGAGTAGAGGTTTAGACCGTTTAGCTGACTAATAATGCAAAGAATCACCTCTCTGTAATAACTAATAATATATTCTTTTCTGTGAAGTCTCTTGAAATTTTTTGACATGTGCGGTAGTAGCTATATCAGGGCTGGTCAACTTGAAACCACATGAATGACTCCAGTCATGTCTCACTTTTGTGTGTGTGTGTGTGTGTTGGGAATTTGTACACTATCAATAAATATACAGTTAATTAAAAATTTCTCAATGTTCTAATTTCCTCAATATAACTGCATATGGCTTCAAAATTTTCGAAAGAAGTGTTCAAATTTCAAAATTTTCCAGGGGGGCTTACAGCGCCCCCCGGAACTCCCAGATGTTTAGGCTCGCTTCACTCGCCACCCCACCCTCTTGGGTAGTTATAATGAGGGGGGCCTCCACAGGTCTAAATCCGGCACTAGATATGTGTATTGAATGTCTTAACCGTTCAGCGATGTACCTTCAGAACCCCGACAAGATACTGCATTCTCTTACTGTAGACTTAGGCACAGTAAGGTCATATAGGTAAACCTAGGTACCGTAAGGTCATATAGGTACACCTGAATACAATAAGGTGTTAGAAACAATATGGTCACATAGTACAAGTAGGTACAATAAAGTCACCTAGGTAGGTCACAAGCCTTAACATCAAGTATGGGAGTGAAAATTCAATTTAACCTCAACCTGGAATTCCGATAAAATAAATATTTCGTTAACATTAAGTTAACGAGATGAGTAACTTAATCTAGGCTGGCCAGGCTCATCTCAACCCATAAGAGGTGCAGGTGGGGGCAGGGCAGAGGAATAATTAGTGTGATGAGGGTCATCACCTAACACCTGCCTCCCCTCAGGTTACCTGGCTCCAACCCCAAGCCAGCACTACTCTCCTTTCCAACCAAGCCGGCACTTATTATCCCTTCCAAAGCCGGCACTACTCCCCCTTCCAACCCCATGCCAGCACTACTCTCCTTTCCAACCAAGCCGGCACTTATTATCCCTTCCAAAGCTGGCACTACTCTCCTTCCAACCCCAAGTTGCACTATTTCTTCCAACCCCATGCCGCACTATTCTTCCAACCCTAAGCGGCACCATTCTTCCAACCCCAAACCGCACTACTCTTCCAACCCCAAGCCGGCACTATTCTCCTTCCAACCCCAACCTGGGCTTCTCTCCTTCCAACCCCAACCTGGGCTTTTCCTTCCAACCCCATGCGGCATCATTCTTCCAACCCCAAGCTGCACTACTTCTTCCAACCCCAGCCGGCACCTTCCCTTTCCAACCCAGCCGGCACTAATCTCTTCCAACCCAGCCGCACTACTCCCCTTCCAACCCAGCCGCACTACTCTTCCAACCCCTGCTGGCACTTCACCCTTCCAACCCCAAGCCGGCACTACCCTTCCAACCCAGCTGGCACTACCCCTTCCAACCCCAAGCGGCACTACTCCTTCCAACCCCATTCTGCGTCCATTCTTCCAACCCCAAGCTGGCATTACTCCTTCCAACCCAGCCGGCACTACTCCCCTTCCAACCCAGCCGGCACTCACTCTTCCAACCCCTGCTGGCACTACTCCTTCCAACCCAAGCTGTGCATTACTCCCCTTCCAACCCCAAGCCGGCACCATCCCCTTCCAACCCCAAGCTGGCACTACCCCTTCCAACCCCAAGCGGCACTCTACTCCCCTTCCAACCCCAAGCGGCACTACTCCCCCTTCCAACCCCAAGCCGGCAATCATCCCTTCCAACCCCAGGGCTACCACTCTTCCAACCCCAAGCCGGCACTATCCCTTCCAACCCCAAGCCGCACATTCTTCCAACCCCCAAGCCGCACTCATCCTTCCAACCCCAAGCCGGTACCATTCTTCCAACCCTAAGCCGGCACTACTCCCCTTCCAACCCCAGCCGGCACCATTCTTCCAACCCCAAGCCGCACTATCTCTTCCAACCCCAAGCCGGCACTACTTCTTCCAACCCTAAGCCGGTATTCATTCCCCCTTCAACCCCAAGCTGGCACCCATTCTTCCAACCCCAAGCCGCACTAATTCTTCAACCCTGCCGCACTACTTCCAACCCCAACCTGGGCTTTCTCCTTCAAACCTGCCGGCACTACTTCTTCCAACCCTAGCCGGCCACTCTTCCAACCCTAAGCCGCACTACTCTTCCAACCCCAAGCCGCATCCACTTTTCCAACCTCAAGCTGGCACTATTCTTCCAACCCTGCCGGCACTTACTCCCCTTCAGCCCCAAGCCGCACTACTCCCCCTTCAACCCCAAGCCGGCACTACTTCTCCCTTCCAACCCAACCCTGGGCTTTCTCCCTTCCAACCCCAACCTGGGGCTTTCCTTCCAACCCCATGCACCATTCTCTTCCAACCCCAAGCCATACCATCTCCTCTTCCAACCCCGAGCCGCACTACTCCTTCCAACCCAGCTGGCACTACCTTCCAACCCCCCATGCCGCACTATTCCCTTCCAACCCTAAGCCGGCACTATTCTTCCAACCCCAAGCCGGCACTACCCCTTCCAACCTAAGCCGCACTATTCCCCTTCCAACCCCAAGCCGCACCATTCTTCAACCCCTGCCGGCACTACTTCCCCTTCCAACCCCATGCCGCACTATTCCCTTCCAACCCCAGCCGGCACTACTCCCCTTCCAACCCCATGCCGGCACTATCTCCCCTTCCAACCCCAATGCACCATCTCCCCTTCCAACTCCCCACGGCACTACTCCCCTTCCAACCCCAAGCCGGCACTATTTCCCTTCCAACCCCAAGCCGCACTACTCCCCCTTTCCAACCCCAAGCTGGCACTACTCCTCTCCAACCCCCATGCCGCACTACCCGCCTTCCAACCCTGCCGCACTCCACTCTTCCAACCCCTAGGCTGCACTACTCCCCTTCCAACCCCAAGCCGGCACTACTCCTTCCAACCCCAAGCCGCACTCATCCCTTCCAACCCCAAGCCGCACTATTCTTCCAACCCTGCTGGCACTACTCCCGCTTCCAACCCCAAGCCGGCACTACTCCCTTCCAACCCCATGCCGGCACTACTCCTTCAACCCCAAGCTGGCACTACTCCCCCTTCCAACCCCAAGCCGCACATTCTTCCAACCCCATGCTGCACTTACTCCCCTTCCCAACCCCCAGTCGGCACTACTCCACCTTTCCAACCCAAAGCTGGCACCACTCCTTCCAACCCCAAGCTGGCACTACTCCACCTTCCAACCCCAAGCTGGCACTACTCCCCCTTCCAACCCCAAGCCGGCACTACTCTCCCTTAACCCTTGGTGTACCTATGTGACCTTATTGTACTTACCGGTAGATTAAAACTACATTAAAACTGATAAGTTTATTTACATAGCGCCATATATGTTCATAAGATAACTTTAAAATAGATATTGTGTACATTATATTGGTATTTACGTCCATCTTGACCTCTACCTATATATCGAGAGTTGCACTTTCTACAAAATCAGTTACTCCTCCAGGTGGAATTTTCTTACCTGCACATGTTATGGGAAACACAACGCATGAGTGTTTTAGTTCCCTCAACATGAAGGAAGTAAGCCTCGCAGTATAACAATGGACACTGAGTGTTCTTTCTGGTCTCCAGCGTGCCCCAGTGACTGTCCACTCCAGCCCTGTGTATCGTTCAGGTGTCTACACGTCTTCGCATTTTGACTTGGTTGAGAAATTTTTCTTGAACTGTAACTTGATTGAAGGGATAATAGTTCATTCATTTCATCAACATCTATCATTTGATTGAAGTTTTTGTTCCTTCAATAACGAGAGAGAATATAACTGGGGCACTTGATTATATATGTGAGCACGTTGCCCAAAAATATACCAGAGGTCAAACTGGGTATTTTTCCGTATTAAAAATTAATAGAGATACAGTATGTTTTATGCTGTAACTGAGGGTTCATTATTTATCAAAGCAAAACATATACCATTAATGTTAGTGTAAACATTTTGTGTAAGGGTAAGGTGTAACACTATGTGTAGAAATCAAACCTAATATGGAATTCATTGTGTGGGGGCATGTTTGTTTCTATTAAATGACAATTAAGACATCCCAAGTTTGATTTTGTCTATCCACCAAGAGGGTGCTCATGGCGGGAGAAGTTTTCTTAAATTGGGTTTACAGTGTTGGAAACCAATATCTGTTTTAGCCCAGGTATTGAATACTTCAGTCCATAAGGAAACGTTAGTGTTCGGTGAATTATAGCGGCTCCCTTTTGACCGAGGAGGAGATATATCTTCTGTTTCAGGAAAATTTGGCCCGGAGTCTCTCCCTCCTGTTACCCTTCACCGCTGTGTAACAATGTACAGTGGTTCCTCGATTAATGAAATTTCGATTAACGAATTACCTCCCATCTGGATCTTCAATTCGGTTAACGAACAAAACTTCGATTAACGAAATCCTTACGAACAACACATTTTGTTGTGAGCATCAGCTGATGGGCTAGTCTGCCAATTCAGTAATCTCTTCTATGTTTACATTTGTTTCCAGTTGAGTAAATATCAAGAAAGTTGTGCTCTTTAATATTTTTGCATTTTTTATACAGTAATATCCCGATTTACGCGGTCAATTGAACCCGCTGAGTAGCGCGTAAAACGAGAAACGCTTAAATGGAATAACAGAACATATGGGATTAATTGAAATAGAGACTGGGCCGACCCCCAAACTCCACTTTTTCAGACACAATACCTACGTTGTATTAAAAATAGTATCTTAACTTTATGATGGTATGCACACACACATAATAGAAGAGAAATATCAATAAGAGAATAATATACTGTACCAGGTAAATGAAAAATCAAGGTTTAACACTTACGTAAAGTTAGGTTAGGTTACAAAAAATCAAGGTTTGAATCCAAAAATGGCGGCGCAGCAGGACCGCCAGCCGCTCTCCGGGTATATGAGTAGATGCACCACGTAAATTGGGCATTCCGGTTGTGGCAGGGTACCGCGTAAATGACAAAACGCGTAAACGAAACCCGCGTAAACCGAGGTATTACTGTATTAAAATTATTAGTAATTTTAAAATTTAGTTAACATATTGATAACATATGCAGTACAGGGAACTAGTTTTTTCTGCGCCCATCATCTGCTTGACTCAGCCACCAGGCGTCAGTGTGGCTTTGTTGACAGTGGAGTGAACATCTGTTTTGTTGGTGTCTTGAATATTTTTGCATTTTTACACTGAAATTATTGGTCATTATGAAATTTAGTTAACATATTGATAATATATAGTGCAGTGCAGTGTTGATTTAAATAAAATAATCGAGAATTACACCTAGTGAACTTAAAATTTTATTGGTGAAATGACTGCATCAAGCATGGGTCCCCTGAAAGGTGATTTCTCCTCCACCCCCACTTCTAATTCCCATCATCATCAACCAGGAACCTTCTACATACACACCTCAAAGTAAGTGTACTTTACTGCATTTTCTTTTTACTTTGTTTGTACTTTTCTGTGAGCTGGAACCAATTACCCAATATCCCATTGAAACAATGGATTCAGTTAAAAAAAAATTTCGGTTAATGAACGACTCTGTGGAACGAATTATGTTCGTTAACCGAGGGACCACTGTACTGTACCATCTTCTGTCCTGGTCTTTGGTGTATTAAGAGGCTCATGTTTGAAATTTATGAGGTCACATATTTTCCTTATGGGTATATATTTGTTTTAAGTTCAACATTATTCCACCTGGAGATTTTAGGTTATGTTATCTTAGTACCTGACACAGTATTTATGTTTTATCAGACTCGTGACTTAGGAGACAATTTCCCTCAACTCACCTCCTTGGGGATAAAGTCCACTGATTATTGAAGCTCTGGTTACTGATAGGTATTCACTCCCGCTGGTTCCAGGATAATACTGAAGTACTGTACGGTTACATAAAAGTCAAGGAACCAAAACTTCCTAGTCGAAACAGATGATGGATAAAATGAGGTTGACTCCTAGAAGCGCATGTTTGGAGCTTATTTAGCATTACCTCCTACCTCTTGTCTAGCTTGCTCTAGGTAACAATAGCCTTGTAGCATTAATAAAAACGAGGAGTAAATTCTGATATCCCAGAAGTAGGAGTACTTTCCAGCAGAGACCGTAGTCAGGCAGCTTGGACACCCACACTCTTTCCTTGGCTTCATGCTTAGGTGGATGGAACTTTGTTTACAATTGAGCTAAAATGATGAGACTTGCCTTGGCATTATGTATACTGTACTAGACAGCAGACATGACTCACCTTACGAGGTTGGGTTATGGAAAATATATTACAGTACTGTTTAGTCTTGATTTACGTGGATTTGGTTTACGCGTTTGGTCATTTACGTGGCACCTTGGCAGAATGAAATGTTTTAATTACGCGGTTCATTGCATCATATATGCGGCGAGAGGTCCAGACGCGTCGCGCCAATTATGATTCACGCGGTCCATTCTTGACTATACTCGGGAAGCGGCGCGGTGAGGGTGCATAGTATGTCGCTGTTGCGTTATCGCTGATGTCATATGACGTATCTGACTGTGATTGGGTCACGCATCCTTTCCTCCCTCCGCCGCTAGCTGTGATTGGTCTAATGTAATATGAAGTGCCCAGCCACGGGAAGGAAGAAGCCACTGACATAGCCGGGCCAGTCTCATTGTTCACAGTCTCCATGTATGCTGTTCTCTCTTGTGCCCACTAATCTGTTCAACAATGGCTTCCGCTGGACCCCCACCACCTCAGAAAACCTTGAATTTCCTGGACCAAACCGCCCCAAGCCCAAGAAGATACGACGCGCCCTAAGTTACGAAGTAAAATACAAAATCGTCCAGGACTTAGAAAAGGGAACGCTACAAGTTGATCTCGTGCGCCAGCATGGAGTTAAC